CCAGGTGTGGCTGGGAGAGTTCCCGATAAGTGCTGCTGCCCTCGCAGGTTACAGCTGCCTGCTCTTCTGGCTCTTGCCGGGGAGAGGGGAGCGGTGTACGCCAAAACCCTCCGGTGGGAATGGCAGCCTGGGCTTCCTGTCCTGGGGTGGCAGCGCGGTTTGGGTTTTGGACCAGCTCATGGAGGGAGGGAGGGAGGACACAGGTTCTATCAGCGTGGAAGTGGGATGAGCAATAGGGAGGCTCTTCTCCTCCCAGCGCTGGTGTAAACGCTCTTGGGAGGGCACTGAGGAAGGTTATCGGAGCCAGGTTATGCCACATTACTGATGTGCTGGTCCAGATCTTTGATGCTTAGGGAAGCTCGAGCTGTGATTCGTGCACAGTGCTAGCGATGAGGAAATGTTCTGGAAAAGATGTCTGTCTTTTTTTTTTTTTTTTTTTCTTCCCACCATATTTCATCATTTCATTGATTGGATTCAGCTGCATGCTTCATTTTTTAAACAATCCTTTCATCAGACCCTTAGTCTTACTTTGCTGGTTGAATAGTTCCAGGGCTGCAGAGCTCCTACACATGGCACACAGACAGCAGATCCTGGCACACACTTCACAACTGCTTCTTGCCATGAGACATTTTATGACATGAACACAACGTGCAAGAGGCAGCACTGGGCCCATGGCACAGGGAGATTTGGGACCTGCAGCTATGTACCGGTGTACTTCCACGCTTCATTAATAGCTCACTGTCTTTTGTGTTTTTTGTGTTTAGGATGTATAAAGATTAAGTGCCAAGCGCCAAAATGAGCGTGACTTCGTGGTTCTTGGTGAGCAGCACTGGCATTCGCCATCGGCTCCCTCGGGAGATGATATTTGTTGGCAGAGATGACTGTGAACTGATGCTCCAGGTAACATGGTTTTTTTTTGTTATATCTTCTGAAGATGTGGATGTAACACTGGGGATCTGTAGAGATGTTGCATGCTTTCTTCAAATGACATATTTTAAAAGGAACTTACTTTTTTGTGTTGAGTTTGCATTTCCCATGAAGACTTCATATTTTTGTGAAAGTGCAAGTGAGTTTTCTTTCAAATTGCTATGTCATCAGATGGATAGGAGCTGTAGTGGTGGGAGATTAATCAAACATTACCTACCTTGATGCTACTAGAAGTAGTAAGCAAAGACATACCATTCTGTTCTGATCTGTGATTATGCTGCTGTTTTTTGTAGCGTTTAATACATGCACTGTTTGCTAGTATGTGTGATTTGGACAGGGTAAAGTTTTTTTGTTTGCCTGTTTTTCCCTTTTAATTTGATTAAGTTGTCTGTGCTTGTGTCTGTCACTTAGGGTTTTTTTTATCATGGTAGGAAATACTGATGGTTAGCAGAGAAACTATGTGTTTTAGTGGGGTGAGTAAGGTGGTGACCTCTTCCCAGAGTAATCGTGTTACTCGGGCAAACTTGCAGCTTCTGTTAGTGCTTCCCATACTTGCATGTGTCTCTGCTGGTCCTAATCCAACATGTCTGAAGTGTTGAATGTGGTCTGATGTTTGACAGCATAATGTAATGGATGTCACTCCAAAGAAATGGAGCTGGAATATCGAAAGAGCTTTTGACAGGAGCAGTTTAGCTCAGGAATTTATAGAAGCTCAGAATGAAATTAGTGTTTCTGCTAGACCCATGCCATGAGTACTTAAATGCAAAAAAATAATAGCTTGCACCTGCCTGTTCCCCTTTGGCCCTTTACAAAGGTGGCAAATGTGCCCGTTGGTGGCAAAATTAGGAAGCTGCCTAACAAGGACTCCCTCCCCTCCCCCTGCTAACCCTGGCACAGCTGTGTCCTAAATGCTTTGCTGATGTTCTACCAGGCAGGCTATGTTTGTAGTTATTGCAAGAATTTTGTATGATATGTTAGCGGGAAATCTGTTTAGGGTAGTAAAAGTTCTTGTATAAGGTGTGTTTGGAAGGCAAGGTGTTGTCTAGCTGTAATAAAATGTTAGTGTCCGCAAAAGGAGAGCTTGCAGTGTTGGTACCGCTCTGCTGGCTGGCAGTGAATGGCATGGCTGTGCTGCAGTGGTAGTCTGAAGCATGCTTCTGTTTGACAGCAGATCATTTGTTTGGGTTTTTCCATGAATCACACTATCCCTTCTTACATGTTTCTACTTGTCTGACTGGTGAGGCATGTAAAGGTGAGACATTAAAAATGTGTTCTCTTGTGACTTGAAGCGAGAAAACATACACAGTGGCCTTGGTTTCCAAAAACGTCCTGAGTTTTAGGGTGCCCATCTTAATACCTTTTGAAGGTACTGGAGGGTTGGTTTTTTTTTTTTTTTTTTTGACTGTCAGGGTTCATTACTCTGAGAATCGCATGTCTCAAGTTGTGCACCCTAAAATAAAAGTACCCAAATATCAGTCATGCTTAAAATGCATTTCTTGTTTCTCTGGTTATTTATGGGGTTAACTGGACAGCGTGGATTGTGAGCCACTCCATGCCACACAGAGTATTTCATGCTGCTTTGTAAGCTGGCTTGTCAGTGTTGCGTGTCAACTAGCAACCTTGTGACACTCTGTTTGCCCTGGTCTTTTCTACAAGGTAAATGAATTGGGATTACTGGAGGAGCTAGCAGTATCTGTGAGAGTGAAGTGGTTGTATATGGGAACTCATAGGTGGTGGTGGTATTAAACGGGGCTTTCATTATTTCACCAGAATGAAAGCTCTGGATTGTCTATAAAAAACAGCTGCTTGTGTTCATGGGGTGACTTACATGTGACCTTTTATAAACATTTTAGTTTACTATTTCCAGTACTAAAGCTTTTTCTAGGATCACATGTAGGGTCTTATTTTGAACAGCGCAGCACGTTATTTTCCTAGCCATTTGCTTATAAAGGTGTTTTCCAGAGCTACCTTGGGCTCCAAATGAGGTGATTGTAGTGAGACTCAGTGCAGAAGACAGACTGAACAGAGACTTGATATTCAAGCAAAGTTGTGTGTGAGCAGATGGAGGATGAGATCTAAAAATAGACTTTTTTCCTACTGTGACTGTCCATGTCACAAAATCATTTGTCTTGTGGAAAGCTTAAGAAGTGGGGTAGTTGTCAGAGCAGATGGACAGAGGTCTTGTCATAGTGTCCGCACCTGTAGTATTTCTGTGGTACTGACCATGAAACTGTATAACTGCACAGTTATTTTGCTTACATATTTCAAGATATTGTCATTTAATCCCTTAAAGTGCACAACTGGGAGCAGACTGGCAGTGTCTGGGGAATGGACTGGATGACCTGGTCGGTGTTTTTTCGTCTCTAAGACTGTTGCTGCTTAGTGATTTCATCATGATGCAGTTTGTGGTTCCCTGTTGAGACCATGTAGGCAGCGTGCAAACATATGACACAGAGATAACCCTTGTCCTGGAGACCCTGCAGTCTTGCCTTTCTCATGTTACTGTTTTAGGAGTGTCTTGTCTTTTGGTATTTTCTTGGAACGTGTTGTCTCAAGGTATCAGACCCCTAAACAGCAAAAAATGATGGCTTTGTCACCAAACAATCAAGCTTCAGTTTTGCCTGTGTTTACTCATTTCATACAGGTACTAGATTTGCTTTCTGGTTAACAAAGAGGTGAAGAAAACCAGAGTCTTTAAGCTTAAAATTAAGTAGGATTGATAGTGGGGAAACATAATCTACCTTGAAATCTTCTATACTTACTAAGAGGATTAGAAATATTTTAAATGTTTTTGCAGCACTGTAAAGCTTCTAGTACAAGTAAATGTGAGATTTACATTGGGTTTGAATGTTAATGCAGGGGTGAAAATGCCATGTAGCGTAGCTTGGCATGCAGTGTTGTTATGCAGACTCAAGGGCTCAGTTCTACCCTTGTTCTGAAAAACAGTACTTGATTTATTCAACAGTCTCACTGGCTCCGTTCAGGTGACAGTGTGTGGAAATCTAGACCTTCACCAACTTGCAGTGGCATGTTTTTTTCTGTGAAGCTTGGTGGTGGTAGGAAGTAATTCTCTGAAAAGTTTTACTGGTATTTTTTTAACCAAAAAATAAGAGGGGTTTTGGACCATCTTGAACAAAGTAATTCGCCCTCTTCCCCAACATTCTTCTTGGGAAATATAGTTGCCATTTTTATCAGCTTTGATCATTTGCTTAATGTGATGGCTATTTACTCAGGGGAGAAACATTTTGCAAACTCAAAATTTTCACTTAGCCATTAAAATCTTCCCCTCTGCCCCTAAACAAAGCATCTTTTGCATTTTTGCTAAATGTAAATATTTAACAGAGGGAAAAGCAGGGTCATGATTTCCCTGGTTTTGTTTGAGCAAGAGATGTTTATTGAAAAATCTAGGAAAGCAAAATGTTTAACCGGTGCCCCCTTGAGTATTTCTCTCTCTTTAGAGTGATGGTTTGGGCATGCTATTGTCCCATGTCAGGTGAGGTTGTACACCTGAGTGTGAGTTACAGTAGGAGTAGGTGCAGATGATATGATGCTTTCTGTTTTATGCCTTTGTCGTGGGTGCCTTTTAAAAGAGCTTGACACTTCCGTTGAGGAGACACTGTTTTCAATTGCTTATACTCTGCTAAACTTTGCAACTGTTTGGAATGAGTTTGTTTTCCAGGCATCTGTTTTAGGTAGTGTGTTCTGGATGTGATCAGCTCCCTTCTGCGGTCTGAGCAAAGTGTGGTTTTCTTCACATGAACTGTTTAGAAGTATGTTTAACCTTTTATTTGAAGTTCTGGCATTGTAGAGCTGGGGTGTGATGCTTTTCAAGAGTGAAAGCCTAGGTCAGAGGGGATTTCTGCCCCCCTGTCCCCCTCAATCAATAATCTAAATGCATTTGACCAAGTTCCAAGCCTTTGAAAAAACATGGAGTTTGCATGTGGTCAGCAGGGACTTGTTTCATACTATTGTCCTAAGTCATGTTTCATCTGGGAGTGAGGTTGGTGAGCGGACGGGTTGGGGGACAGAACTGTCACAGGTTGGGCAAAGAGGAACTAGGTGCAGGTATGCACAAGGCTAGGGTTTAGATGTAAGAACAACTGCGCTAGATTTAGATCAAGGTGCATCTCGCCCAGTATCCTGACTCAGACAGTGGTCAAAGCAGCTGTCGAGGAAAGTGCGAGCACAAGCCAAGAGTATAATGAGACTCGCAGAATACTTGCTCAACTTCTTGACCTGTGTTTCAGGAAGCCAGAGGCCAGATCCTTGGATTTAATTGTTGGATTTCTACTCTACAAAGCCTCACCAGGAGATTAAGATTTGGCTGAGTGGGGAGACACAAGGAGTTTGTCATTTGTGCAGAGTGAGAGGAGGAGCAGCAGGACTTGGAAAGGTGGAGTGTGGTGCATATTGGGCAGAGGCTGTTCAGTGTGGGAAAAGTGGGCATTACAGGACGTGACCGCTGATCAGCATCTCCCTTAAGCCTGAGATGGGCTCAAGACTCGCTTTTAATTCCGGTGTCAGCAGATAGCTGTGAAAGCTACTAGCCAAGCATCTGTCACTGGCCCATATGGGACATTGCATGCTGCTTATAGTATCAATTAGTCAGTTCAGGTGCCAGCGTAGGGGCTTATGAGCTGAACATACAAGTTCATTCTGCTGGTGAATTGGATAAATGGTTACTTGATAGTGCTTGAATAGGTATTTCCCTCTTTTTAGCTTGCTTTGGTAAAAAGCTAGGGAATTACAAGTGTTCTAGGCACTGAAGGAACATCTTATGGCTGCTAAGGCAAGTGTTTGTAACTGCAGAGCAGTTACGATGCACCAGTGTGAAGATTGCCTGTGTAATCCTGCTTCTGCCTGTGTACATGGGCATGAAGATGCAATCTGTTACTGTGTTGTTACCAGTTATTTTCTCCCTGCAGGGTCTGTTCTGTGTTTTGGACGCAGGGTGCACGGAGCACTCCGCAAAT